TTAAATGTGCAGTTTACTTCACAACGTTTAGCTTCACCAAGAGCAGTCAAATCAGCTTTGGGTGAAGGGCAGTGATCTAAGAACTACATGGGAGGACTGGTTCTCAAGTTATTTTGACATCACAAAAAAATACGTTCTCCTACTTTTCTTTCCAAATTGTCCTTGAATCCCAGTTTACCACACTGGTGTTTCCATACTTGTGGTCATTTAAACTGTATCTTGATCTGGTACCTGATGGGAAAACTTCCTATGTGAGAAAACCACTGAAGATGCTGCTGTTCACAAATATACTCATTTTACTTCATTTGTTCTTTCTCCCTCCATTGATATACTCAGTGTTAAGTGAGAGTTGATGCCTCTCAAGGAGGGCCTAAAATAAAAGTATTTGTTCCAGATTGGACCTGATAAGGGAACTTCATTACTGTCAGTTTCACTAATAAAGCTTCTTCTCCAGGAAAAAATCCACTATCAAATATCAGCACTGGTTTCAGTACTTAAAAATCTTTTCTTATGTCAACAGCGTTAACTTTTCCCATCAGTCTTTTGAAATCAAGGACAATGTAGAGACAAAACCAAATAAGCCCCTGTCCAGGATCTTGACTAAAATATCCAAAAAAAAGAGTCCCCCAAGAGAAACGGAATTCATATGGAGAATGAGTGCCTGAAACAGTTGCATTGATAAGCAGCTGTGAACTACCACTTTCCATCGTATGCTTTTTCTGAATACTTTTTAAGGCCTCAAATCCAAGAAAATTGAAACAGTTTGGACGAGGTCCTGAATGTCCTCATTCCTACAAGCAGCAAAACGGACATCCACCACCAATTTCAGAGTTTTACCTCCAGCACCATCTCCTCTTTCGATGTATAGGGTTCTGTTTTACTTTTCGGGAGCACGTGCTCATTTTCATCAGAGCTGAAGCTTTCCACAAGTCTCTGAGAATCATCCTTCTGAAATTCCAGGAGAAAACAGGTGAAATGTAACACCGATATCATGTAGATTCACTAGAAACTTCTTTGACAGGAGTCTGGATACATGTCTATCCTGGAAATTATATATTAGTTTAAAATTTCGGAAAAATACCATCTGAAAAAGAATGAGATTCCTACATATTCAGGAAGAAATTGCTAAAATTAATGAATGCCATTTTTCAGTCCAGAAGTAGAATTTTAATCTGAAAAGTTGGAAGAGGCTATAAATGTGTCAAATCAATCCATCTGCTCTCAGAACATCTTGCTACAGACTACGGAGTCAAGCTCAGTCTGAGCTCAAACTTCTCCTTTAAAGTAACTTAATGGAAATTTTCTGTATTGTCTGCAATGAAGAGAACACTGAGTATTTTGCTCCCCTGCTATGAGAAAAACTTCCAAAGTGAAGTTTTACGTGCAGGAAAAGTTCCTGTCAGGAAGAAATAACCATCAGAAAATGTTCACCACCCTTCTTTCCAAAAAGCAGCCCATATCACCGGCTTTTACTTCCCTAACAAACATCCAGAGCTACTGGTACGGACACATCGACTCTGTGGCAACAAAGCATCCTGTGGCACACTTTCCTCCCTGAGCACTAGGTAGACAAAAAAATACTGATGTTGGTTAATGCATACACACACAGCATCAGAAGGAAATTTTTTTTAGTGAAGGAAAAGATGGTCACCACCCTACCTTAACTACTACTTAAATTACTTCTCAGGTTTTCACTCCACTGACTGTTTTTTCATGTAGTCTAATCATACTGTTCCAGCCACAATTCATGGCACTGTCTTATGGAAAGATTCTCCTTGAATCATTTGGCCTCTTGGTATATAAAGTAGTCCATTTTCTCAGAATGTAGAGAATTGCCTGCTCTTTGAATACTTGAATACCTTTCATTCCTTATGACTTGCCCCTGCCACTTCTTCGGAACACAGACGTTCAAAGATGCAGGCCATATTCTTGGTGTAAGAGACTGTGTTAAAAATGTTTGTCTCAACCTTGCTGGAATTGCCCATGAAGAAAAGACTGTGTTGAAATTGCCCGCGAAGAAACTTCAAGGCTGCTGTTTGCAAGCTTGGACCACTGATAAGTTCTAAACAACAACTTCAGAGCCCAGCCCAGATAAGCCACAGGACTTGACTTGACTACTGATACAACTTAAGGGCCCAGCCCAGATAAGCCGCGGGGCTCGAAGTCCTGAACAACAACTTCTGGACCTGATACAGCAGCTGTCTTGCAAGCCCACCGGTTTGCAAGCCCACCAGGTGTAACTGCTGATAGGGTGGCTGCCCTGCAAGGCGAAAATGGGCTCTCCGGACATCTCTGCATGCTCCGCTGACGGAGGCGACACTGCGGGGGGTGAAGATCGCTCCTGACGACCCTCATACGCATGCGCTAACCAGGCGGAGAATGGGCAAAGTGGCTCTTGGAACACTATATAATACCACCGTGAACAGCTATTCTTTGGAGATCTTCCCTACCGAATCAAAACAGGTGGACCTGCGAGACGTTGCTGGATCTATGGTGGTAGCTATACTTCTTGGTATCTTGAACTTTTACTGCTTTGCTTTTCCTTTTCCTTATCTTTCTCTCCTATCACTCTCCAGTGGTTGTTAGTCAATAAAGGGTTTTGCTTTTGTGACATCTGACACTGTTTGTGTCTTAATTTCACCTTTGCGATCAAAACGAATCACCTTGACTATAACCCTTATCAGGTATAAGCGGGTCAAGACACTTGGGTTAGCCTCTAAGATGTGAATTGCTGATGCTGGTTCCTAAAAACCTACTTATGACAAAAGAACAGCTGTAAGTCTCCCTCAGTCAATCTTGTCACTTTTTGTCCTAAACTGTAATTTCGCAAAACTCAGGTTGAGTGATCGAGCTTTGAGGAAGTAGCCACACTGAACTGACCACTGTACCTCACATCGTAGCCACTTCAAAATAACAATCTGCTTTCCTTGTTTCTCCAATTGTTCACAGTCATCCGGTATTTATTATCATGGTACCTGTGGTTGTTAAGGTCTCCAGGTACTTGTCCTGCTCCTGTTGCAAACTTAAGTGAGCTGCTTGGGAAGGAACACGGCACACTTAGTGAAAACATCCCTGCTTTTACGATGGATACAGAAGGCTGTAACACGAGCAGTTCAGTACCTGCTACACCCACAACTGGCTTGCTCCACAGCGTTGGTGGGACAGAGAGTGGGAAGAAGGAACAAGCATAAATAGCCTAAAGTAGCCCTGTTCAGTTTGGGAAATCAATCACACAGGGTATGACCTGTCCACTCTGCAATGTGTTCTGCACGTGCCAGCAGGCAGTTTATTTTTCTTTCAAAATAAACGACTTTCACAGCAGCAGCACTGATTTTAACGGCATTTAAGCCCCTAAATACATCTGAAGACTGGGGCCAGAGAGAACTGACAGCTTCTACTCCCTATTGACATAAATGACATAAAAGATAAAATTGTACACAGTTACCTTTGAGTTGGTAGTGGCAGTACAATAAAGATACCCCCTATTAAGGCAGCAAAAATGAGCAACTGAATCTGAGAGGCTTGCACTCAAACCGGATGCATTGATCCAGCACTTCAATTTCTAGACTAAAGCATGGCTTCAAACAGAGTTTCAAATCTCCTACTTAAAAGCAGTTGGAAGCAAGAGGGTTTTTCTCTTATGTTATGTTTAATGATCAACACTAGCAGATATACACACACGCAGCAGAGCTGTTACAGCTGAAAAAAAGGTGTGGTTAAAAACTAAGCCAAACCAGAACCCCCACTGCAGGCAGGCAGAACGCTCTGCAGGGCTCCACATTTCCCAGCTGCATCAGCGCCAACCACTGCTACATCCAGTCAATCCAGCACGACTTGAGACATGTGACAGGAGAAGAAAGCCGAAATCGGTAACAATTCTCAGAAAATATATCTGCCCAGTAGCGGTTCTGCAGGTATGCGCTACCTCTGTGATCTTCAAGTCCAAAAAAACCACTTTATGTCATAAAAAGATATGAACCATCCACCACAGTCCTTAAAACAGCAAGGCATGTATGTTAACAAGATGACATGCTTTAGAAAACCCTGTTAGTTTTGCATCATGCAAACTGTTGGATGCGTTCTGCCTCCTTTATTTCTTGGGTATGTATGTATGTAACATCAGTGCAAAGTTACTGTTGTGGATTAATAGTAATACACTGCTTGTGTTGTTTGGAAAAGTTCATAGCATGCTTTGGAAATAGGGTTATTCTTACTGGTTTACGATGGAAATTAGTTTGTTTTCAACGATCTTGCAACGAGGTACATCTTCCATTATCCCCCAAAAGCAACACAGCCTTGTACAAGACACGATGGCAGCAAGACGCAACTAGCGTGTCACTTGCGGTGAAGATTCAGGCCAGCAGGGCAATATTCAAAACACGTACATATTGAAGCTGGCTGCTCTTTCGAGCTCGCCCGAGCCTGCGGAAAGTCACCCCTGGGCACGGCCCAGCACCGGCCGCGACGCTCGCCCCGAGACCCCGGGGCTGGCCCGGG